TTCTTCATTACAGTAGACAATAGAAGTTTAGGGGAGTCGATAGCTAATCTCCTATTCATTCACTAGTATGTATTAACTACCAAATATTTTCTTACCTTGAAAAATGATTGCTTTATGTCTTGTCCCAATCTCTCTGACATTCTACCCATGTTGTCTGACATTTTAGTCATTCCCTCTGCCAGGCTGTCAGGGAGAGACTTGACTGCATTTGATACATTTCTCATAGAGTTACGCAGTGGGTTTACAAATGTGTCCATCTGAAGGGGAAGATGTTTAACCAGAATTGTATAATCTATGAGGACACCAGTATATTAATACACTATGAGAAGTATCACACAGTTTCGAGGAACAATAATATAACAACTCAAATTGCTTAACTTCATTACAGAATGCACAATCAAGTTTTAGCTTCACTTTCATATATATTTCTTGTTCCTTACAGCCCTACTGTAGCTATTTACATCTTTCAACAGATCTTTTTCCTGAGTTATTTCCATTTCCCATTCCTCAGCTTTTCTTATCTTGAATTTATTTTCCTTTTCTTCTCCATTCAATGCCATTTCTCCCTTCCAAGCTTCCTCCTACCAGATGTTTCACTACTGCTTTCAACTCTTCATCTTTTAAACAGCACTGGAGTAATAAGCTTTAACATGGTGGCAATTATAATTAAAAACAAAGTAGTTCTATAGAAACTGTTACAATTTTTCTTTCAGTATTTCCTCTAAATTCAGTTCCAACAGAGGCACAAATAGGCATGTGATGCCTTTAAAAAAGTAAGTTTATGAAGAACCTGGTAAGCAGGAAATCAAATCTTAGTCATTACATAAATCTTGATAAATATTTAACTGTTTCACTGTTAAATATTTAAGGAACAACAACCTGAAGTGACAATACACTTGCAGATGTTTTTTTGTATCAAAATCTCTAAAAGTATAGAAATAGCTATATTTGCAAAGCAGATGCCCAAACTGGTCAACTGAACAAAGAATCACTTGTCTGAAGAGAGTTCTGGTGGCTTAACAAAAAGGATGCACAGCTCAGAGCTTCAAATTTGACCAATGACTGAATGGTTACAATGGCTAAATACAAACAGCTGCTTTTGAAGGGAAATGCATTTCACCTTTTGGGCTGAAGAGTGGAGAGCATGGTAACAGCAGCAAATACAGAGTAAAGAACTGAAAAAAGAAATTGGAAGGAACAAGACTACAAAAAAAAAAATCACAGATATCTGACAAAGCAATTTGCAATAAACACAGTTTTAAAGTAGTCTTGGTGCAATACACTGTGTCTGATTTGAAAATTTTATTTCCTTACCATACAAATAAATTTACTTGTTGTAAACCCAGTAAATTTTCTGTTCCATATGTCCTCGGGTATTTTGCCACTCACAAAGTATCAAAGTTCCCTTGACAGTGCAAAACACTCTTACCTTCCGTGCAAAATCCCCCTTCCCTTTGCTGTAGGCTTTATTCTCCAGGAAGTCATACACATAATGGGCTAATGCTGGAGAAGCTTTCATCACCTCGGGATTTAACAAAAGCTGAATAAAATAATTTTTTAAAAGGTGCTTTTTAATAAATAACGAAAAAGGCCATACCATTCAGCCTAGTAAAAGTTTACCATGCACAAAGACATTACGTCTTGCAATGTATTTTCTCATTCATTCTCTAAATTTTATTCCAACATTAGGCTATTCTCAAGATCAAAACAATGTGCTAATTGGCAATTCCTGTAATTTTAACTAGTACATTAACTAGAGCATCTCACAGAAAAATATACACGTTTATGACTACTTGAACTGCTTCTAAAACTCAAAAAAAACCCCAACATAATAGCTGTGACTGAAAAAAATATTGCTATTAAAAATGGGGCACACATCTCAAAGGAAAATACATTAGCACTCTGAACAGAAGAATCAAATTTCACTTCATTATATATTGTTAATATCTTATTTTAGTATCATATGTTAATATGTTCATTGAGTTGGTCAACACATTTTAGTGCTAAATGATCAGAAAGTCTCTATGACTTAAAAAAAATGAATTCCTTTAGTTGGGCTGATAGAGGCCTTATCTGAACAGAGAAGCTGTGTGGTTGTGCTACACTGCCAGAGTGGGTGCCAGAGCAATCCTTATGCAACAGCACAAGAGAAAGTAACCACAAACATGAGTGTAACAGAAGAAAGTTAAGTGACATAGAGCTTAAAATCAGCACAACTGAAAGCTCACCAGCTCAGAGGAGCTGAGAGAGAACGGGCTGAGAATAAAACAAAATAGTAAAGAAAAGGCAAACTTATTAGATAATATTAAGTTCTTACAGTATAGTATTTAGGATTGTATGCCACCTACAACAGTTGTACAACAACTTCAGGCTAGCAAATTTTATACCTCAGAAAAAAAGAATTCCAACCAAGAACACAACCAAAAAAAATTAACAGCCTACCTGCAAATATGCATTTAAATCTTTTTTCCTTTTTTCCAAAAATTCTCTGTCCATGTTGTTAAATGTCTTTTTGCCAGGAAGTTTCAGTATACTTGCGAGGTTTTCAAACTAGAAAAAAGAGAAGTTTTTTTTTGTTCTGTTTTCAAAAGATTTTCGAATCACCATACAAGCTAAGAAATTATAGAGGTCATTATATTCACCTATTCTTATCTATCATACATCACCTGACAAATAATTTCTGCATCAAGCCTGGAACTCAGATTCCTTGGAGATGCCAAAACAAAACGTATACTGTCAAGAACAAATGCACGAAAATTCTCAGGAGACTGTCAATGACAAAATTTAATTTCTGAACACACACGATACTCACTTTTGAAATGCAGATTAGTATAGTGTGCAAATTACTCCTGTCATCACATCTGCTCAAAAAAGGTTTAGGCTGAATATTTATCTTTATTATTTGGGGAGAAGTTAGTAAGGTTATGAGGCTCAAGAAAACTTGCAAATGTTTCCAAAACATCTTCCCTTTTCCTCTCCTAATCAAACCTACTAAGGAAATGATTAAGTTTTTATCCTTGGAGTGGATGGCAGCCCTCAGTTTACTCGTAGGTTATCATACCACGCTTGATATGCCATCATCTTTGCCTTTTCTTCAGGTAATAACAGTGATTGGCATTGGCTGACATGTCTTCCACTGTTCCAGTTTTACAGAAAGAATTGATGTTCCAGGGAAGCAGCAGGGAAAGAAGAGCCCTAACATATTTGCTACAATGCACAAAAATAAAAAAAGTGACAAGAATAAAACTCAAAGAATCAGGACTATCCACAGATAGAATCCAGGCTTCCTGTAAATAATAAATAATATTCTTAAAGCGGTACAGAGAGAAAAGTATAGTATCTAGGCTTTAAGAAACAAACAGGAAAGAGGCCGTGTCCTTTTCTCTCCAGAGAAGAACAGAAAATGACACATTTAATGAAATATTGATCCCATTCAGGCCCTGCAAAGTATCTTTTTGCAAAGACATCGTAAAACTTTGGAAAGTCACAAAGTTCCTATAACATTTATGGCCTGTAGGAAGCACCAAAGAATAACTATTTCCAACTTTACAAATCCCATTCTCTTGCAAATAGGCCACATGAGAAAATAACTGAACAGAAGAAGGTCTAGTTTTTATTTGGATACTTGTATCTAAACATAAGCAATGTAAGCAAAGAACAGCCTTTATTTTAAATATAGATATCGACTTCAAATTAGATTTATTGCATTACTGACTAAAGAAACTGGTGTGAATCTATTCAGTACTTCAAGGAAAAAAGCTTGTACAGATACTATACACAGCTAACTTCAATTCCATTTTGGATCAAGTACCTATTTTCTCTGAAAAACGTAAAAAATAATCCCTGCCCCTCCTATCAATTCTAAATAAAAGATTCTAACTTTCACCTTAATGTCAACAAAAATATATCAGACAAGCACACAAGAAGGGTGTTCAGTGTATCAGTGACATTCCTATGCCTGAAAACTCAGTAGGAACGTCTATTTTATTGTCAAAACAAAGCAGAATTATTGGGAGCTTTTGAGGTGCTACAATTAAGCACAGGAATTTCTTTACTTCCTTGCAATCTTAGTGTTCTAGGATAAGGTATCCATTCTTTGCAAATCCAACAAACTCACATTTAGCAATAGAAAATTTCTGAACTTTCCTATTTTGAAAATTTTTGCTTCTGCCATTTTTTTCTAGTCATTTACTGCTAGGTCAGTTTTAAATGATTGCCCCATATCAGCAGAACATTAACTCACTATAAGATGCGGGTACTCATACTTGTTTCAACTGGTCAGGGATTCTTCAAAACAGTGACATAATTTAAAAAAAAGCAAACAAAACCAAACAGTTTGAAGAAGAGTAAAACCCCTAGTATTTCAAATTTATTGACAGCACACTAAGATAATCAGAAATTCAAAGGAAAATAAGACTTTGTTTATAATGAATATAAATTTTCAACATGATATTTGCTCTTTTAGTAAAGCCTTTTCCATTTTCACTACTGTTGGGACTTTACAATACTAACCTACCCGCACGAGATTTGTTCTCTATACCTCTCTACTAGCAACAGAGTAAAGGGATACAATCCAACACTTCTCACTAGTTCAAAGGTTATGCAGTCAAACCTGACTTCTCCAAAGGCTTGGTTTAAAAGCATCTCACTCTCCTCTTTTAAAAGCACTGAATTTTCAACACTTTTTCATGTCAGCAGGTTCTACTTTGTACCAGCTGGTGAATTATAAGTCTCTCTTTTTCTTCTTTCATTTTAGGAGGGTAAGAGTCTGAGAATACGAGTAAAGCAATAAAAGGCAGATTGTCTAGCAGTACACTGAACTGCCAACACCTGTCCCTTTTGAGATCCCACCAATCCTTAACATTTCACTTTAAATCTAAATACCCATTTCCCAAGCTCAGTTTTTCTTTCTTAATCTCTGTGACAAATACAACAAATGAAATACGTCACTGTTCAAGACCAATAGCACTTCCATACAAACATTTTAAAGCAAGATTAAGCAAAGAGGAAGGTGGGGGGGAAGCCTTCTAAGTTCCATTTCCTTTTGTTAGAGAAGTTATATCGGGCACTAAACTATCTAAATGTGCACTTGTAAACTGCTCAGTACAAATAACGTATGATATAAACAGTAAAAAAAGTACACTTTAATGAAAGATAACATAGTGCCGTAACTCCACATTTAAGTCACTTTGAGAAAGTCAATGCTCATGCCATACCATCACACAGAAAAAGCACCTTTCAAAGAAATCATAAAAGACTTTTATGAGATTAATTACCTGCTCAGTGATCCTCATGTGAAAGTCATGGAAGTCACTATAGCGTCGATATGTCTTCCATGTCTCTTCGCTGTTTGGATTTCGCCGATGGACTGTGATAGCATACAGTGCGTACGTCTTGCCATGGTCATTACACACTCCTGCCACAGCATATGGGTCACAGTCAGCATAGACTAGTAGTTTAAAAACAAAAACAAAAAAGGAACAAACAAAGGAGGAAGACGAAAGGACACAAACGTGAAGTGAAGAAATGTCTGAAATGACAGACTTGAGACACAAAAATGGACATGCAAAGCAGAAGAGTAAGCCATCCCTTTATCCAAAACACTGTACGAGTGATACCCTCTAGAAAGTTACTATGTAAAGTTAAACAGAGAGATTAAGCAGCCTTGAAGTTAGACAAGTTTCACTGACATGCAAAACAAAGAACAGAAAAGGTTTCAACTTTTAAGAACAGTGAACAGATCTTATAAAAAATAATTTTGACCTAAAGAACTCAAGCTGAAGTGAAAGACAACTGTGAAACCAGAAGAAATTCCAGTCTGCGAAGTACTCTAATCATATTGCAAAAGTTTTTCCATAAAAAAAAAAATCTGCAAATACAAGACAGTGCTAGGAAGCTGCAACCATTAGGTTTTGTTACTAACATCAGCCGATCATTATTAACTGTAAGATAGAAAATAACTCCCCACTATTTAAGTCAACAGAAACTACATATACACACGTATGTATTCTGTATGTGTGTGTTTGTATCTACAGTGCATTGTGTGCGTAAGCACAGGCGCACGCACATGTTTCATGGAGAAGTCAATTTACAAATGGAACGAACACAGACAGCTATCTTAAACAGAAGCAAACATCCTTTTGTTCTCCACTGAGTATTTAAGATGCCTTGGACATTCCTCCATCACAGAATTCTCCCAGTACAGAGTTTGTTTCAAAAACTTTCATCACATCTACAGAATAACTAGAACCAATATTGTTTACACTGCACATTGTTTAAACTGGTAACATGTTGTATCTTTTAAGTATTGAACCAATACGCAGTGATCACAATTTTCCAGTGGCTAGATGAAAATACTTTTAAATCAAATTCTGTGAGTTTTTCAATGCACTCATGCTCCATAAAAATACACTTGTACTGACAAATCATCAGCTCCAACCTCTGTTGTGCTTCCAGCCTTGACTTGTCTCTATTATATCTCTATTCTAATGTCAAGGTCTAAGCATCCAGAGAACACATCTAGGACAGGGTTAGCTGCTGACAATGTAAGAATTACTCACTGGCAAGGTGCACAGTAGGCATGGAGCGTCTTTTCTTTGCCAAGAAGAATTTGAGTGCCAAACCCCAAGAGAAAAGAGTGGGCAGTCAGGATGCTGCCAGAAGACTGTCCAGAGAATGGAGCCGGTGAACCCCAGCCCCACAGATGCTCAGCAAGCCCTACCCTCTAAACTCACATCGACCACTCTGCTGTGCAGCCAACAGACCACATCTCAGGGCCACTGCTGAGCTGCACTTTAGGAGTAATCGCTTCAGAACAGAAGTGGCAGAAAAAGAAAGGTGTTGTCCCCACCACCCCTTATGTCATAACCTCTTCATCAGCATTTATTTTGCAACAGAAGAAAGGCGAATCCTCAAAGAGTAAGGAAAAGATCTTGTATGCACCCCACAAGCACAGTAAAGGGTAGTACTCAGCTGAGGAAAAGAGTCTGCACACAGATGCAAGATGCACCTACTGCCTGTAGCATTCAGAAAGCAGGAACTTGTATTTCTTGTTGAAACATGAGGTGAAGAGGAAGAAGACATCCAGTTTAATCCTATCTTACAACATGAACCTGTACATATCCCCTAGTTCAACTGGAGTATTACAGATTCACAGAGATAAGCTAATAGTTATCAATACACGTTGCCATCAAGATTATAAATTTAACATAATTTGTGTGATTTTAAGTTTACCTTTTTTCTGAGATCAAAAAAAGTATCACATATCATTTTAAAGTAAAATTGTGATACTGAATTTTTAAATTACTACATGACTACATGAGACTTGGATTGCACCATGCTCTCACACTAGGTTGGAGTAACAGAGTTTAATTAAGATGTCAAGTAGTTGAATTCTTGCTCACAGCTCATGTGTCTGCTATATTAAATGCATAGATATTAGTCTATTACATAGTAAAATCCACTAAAAAAAGTATCTGAAGATCAATTAATGATTTAATTACCCAGCACAATCTCATCTAACTAGAATATTTGCAAATAATACCTAAGAAGTTTTCATTATTTACTCTCACATAATAAAAATTCTTAATTTATTACTAGGCGATTTTTTTCAAAAGATAACAAAAAACGCGACTAGTGTAAAGACTGAAGTCACTACTTTAAATTAAGCTAAGTCAATAAGGAAGCACAAAAAATAGGGAAAAATATTATAGCAATAGAAGTAAGCAGTCAAGAATGAGAATTGTGTGACCAGAAAAAGAAGAGATGGCTTTCAGAATTCATTCTTTAAATAACTGTTAAAATAAATGCTACTCAATACTAAGTTTAATGAATGATCTTCCAGAGAGAGAAAAAAAAAACCCCACAACAAAATTTAGATCAGATTTTAAGTATAGATATATAATATACAACCTACAGCACCAAATCTGTAAGGATTTCCATTACAAGGACTTCATGGGAAATATGAATTCAAATGTTTTACGACTTTATAGAAATGAAAGGATTAGGATTTCAAGGGCCTGTAATACTGAAAAACTCAAAATAAATGGCGGAAAAGAAGTAAGTAGCCATCATAACAGATTCACTTACCAGTATCTGAGATGTATGCATGGAGTTGAAATGTCTCATCAGAAGGGACATTTGAAAGGTCATCTAAGGACTGCAGGGTGGAGAAGAGACAGGGGAAGGAAGAAATGGGCAAGAGACAATAAGCATTTGAGAGATGCTTTTTGATTAATCTATTACTATTTTCAAACTTTCAGTTCACTACACTAATAGAATAGCTTAATGCACTGTAACGATGCAAGTATTTGTATTACCTGGTTATTAAAGCCTTCCCAGCCTTCCCTTTACACAGAGCGTAGGGCCCTTCATTTCTCTTACCAGTTCCACACAGTTTTGTGATCCCTCTAACATATTTGCCACATTTCATATCTTAACTCTAATAGAAATACAAGTAAAAATAGTCTTTTACTGAGCATTAAAAAAAACCAAACAAACCCGACACAACTGCAGAGATACAGATGTTGTATAACAAATCTTTTGTATTATCTTTATACCATTCCGTTTTCTTTTAACTGACGTAAAACACTACACAAGTTACAGTGCGGTAAAACTTGAATAACTTCTCTGCTGCATGTAAAAAAAGCAAACACTTTTCTCAGAAACGTTTTACCTCGTAAAAAATGACGGGGCTGACTCATGCCCTGTCTCCATATTCAGTAATTACTGTGATCAAAAGAAGCCTAATAGATCTTTTAAAGAAGCTCTGCAATTACTTAAGAGTAATACATCTGACTACTAAGATTTAACATAATAAAGCTCTGCAAGACTGTTGGGTGAAAAACTTGGATACATAACTGAAAGAAATAGAACATAGGCCACTACAAGTGTGATCCTAATCTTAAATTACTAGGTTAAAAAAAAAGATGGTGCTACTTAAGAAGAACTCATAGGCACTGGGATCCCACATACTTTATGTATTTTACACCCAAATTCTAAAACTCTTCAAAGATACATATTCAGAATCAATATGCAGCTATCAGCTACCTTTTATAATTTAACCAAGCCAGTTTAATAGTGAGCTGCCACAAAAAGTTAACTAGAATTGGACTTACTGGGAAGCAGTGCCAAACCTGTGTCAAATTAAAATCTCAATATAAGCCAATCAAGTTTCTAAACTCCTCTGTTTCTTTAAATATAAGCCAATCCTATGTGATTACAATCAAAAGATAGGTTGGACTTGAAAACGTAAATTATTTAAAGACTCTCCTCTTGCCCCTTCTCATCTGAATCTTTAATGATAAAGATTCTCGACATTCCAACATAATACTCCACTCCTTCCTTCTCAAGCTCTCTAGTGGGAACGTCTCTTCTCTGCCTCAGCCACCTCGATCTGCCTAAATATCCACTATGGAAGATGAGGGAAATAATGTTTCTATTGTAAAGTCTAGATACTGAATAAATAGCATCGCTAAAAAGGTCTAAACACACTTACTATGCTTTAACATGTACTGCAGTGAGGAACCTCTTAAATATCTTACGATAACAGATTGTAGCCTTCCAGTACAAAAGTCCCAGATTTAAAAAAAAGTAGAAGAAAGAAGAGTCCCTTTGGGAAATCTGTTCTGCCACTGCATGTTATAGTGATAAAAGTCTGTATCTGTTCAATGGTAGAACTGACGAATTCATGCAAAAATATCTCTAAGTTACTGGATGCTGGAGAGTATTCTCGTAAAGCACCACTGTAAGTGGACTGTGCCCATAATCTTCATCAGACACTTGCTTTTGGTCATTGTTGGATATAGGCTAGACTTTCTCTGACCTGGTCCGTTCCTAACCAAGTCACCCTTGGACAGCAATAACCCCGTAAGGTGTACTCTACACTGCAGTGTCCAAATTTAAGAGCAGAATATCACATGAGACTGAAGAACAGCAGGAATTTGTGGAATCTTGGATAAGCGCTTGATATTCTGAGAGCTCTAGGATTTGTTTAACAGTATGATGGAAAGGAAATTATTAAAGAAGACAAGTAATAATTAACTGCTCTAATATTTTGTTTGCTATGAAACACTGATATTAAGCTACTGTTATTCCTGCCTCCCTTCACTGCCACCGTTAACAGTTTCGTTTTCTTCATGATCACTGCACGAGGTTCAGACTGACATATACTCATGACTGCCAGAAGTTCAACCCAGCTCTTTCCGCTGCCATTCAAGGTCTTGTAAACGTAACACCTGTGTAACTCCTTTTATTTACTCAGTGCAAAAGCAGTATGTAAAGCTCACATTATGTCACTTGGATGAAATCTACAAGAGTCTATAAATATCCTACAATGGTTTCATACCCTCAAAATACGTCCTACTGGTTTAATATAGTAGACTAATGTCTCAAATTAAAATGCAGAAATTAAGAAGGTATTTTTGGAAAATAACTCTTCCTCCAAAGAGTTTTGAGCCCCTCTTCCACGTAATCCTAAAATGCATTCTTACATTGAAATTATGAACTGCAGGCGATGTATTTTATAATGGAAACACTCAACTGCTACGGCAAGGCATCATACAGCAACAATTAATACAAGTAACTGAAATGGCTGAAACAGATAATACAACGGGCAATTTGTATTTAATATGCACTAATATATTTGAAAAGTTAATTAAAAGGCAAAAACATCACACCACAATTCCATCTTATTTAATGAACTGTCATTAGCTAAAAGTACAGTGCTTGATGAAGGTTTTAAGACTTTCTCGCTTAGTTTGGAAAGGTGACGTGAAACTAAGCAGCAGATAACCACTAGCCAGACGAGCCACTGCAATGGCAAATTCTCAATTATAAAATGCGACTTTATGTCAAAAGATTGTTACAAAAAGTACTTGAGACATTTTAAAAGATTGGCCAATTAAAAGAATCTCTTGTAAAACGTTACTAGAATTTTATGTAAATTTATAAAAAATATGGATAAATTAAGTTTTCTTTCTGTATCTAGCAGGAGTTTGTGTAAATTGTATCAGCTGACCACTTTCCCTTTTCTTTGTATTTAAAAAATGTAAACAAGAGGAAAACAATAGGAAAACAAATTCCAGTTTAGAAAAATACCAAAGCAAACAAATCCCACAAACAAACAACCCCCACAGGGAAACACATTGACATTTACATTAAATGTATTCCTTTACAGAATAAACTCTACTCGTCTGCTTGCAAGCATGATCTAACCAATGCACTGGAACTCTTTAAGGAGCTACAGCATCTTCCATGAATCAGACAGGCCTATGAATCACATAAGCCAGGAAAAGTGCATGCAGACTGCAAACCTTTCTAAAACTAAAAGATTTGGAAAAATACTCTCCTACGTACAATTGAACTTTGCGTATCTTGTGGCTCAGCTACATGTAGTCTGAAGAAGCAAGTAAGAGGGTGGAGAGGAAATACATTAAAAAGGAAAAATCATAAAAATTTTGAATAACTGTGACTTGATTTTCAGTTTAAAACACATTAAATTCAGATTACTTGGAAAAAGTCTGATAGAAGTATACAGTTGTATTCGCACATATGCAAACAATTGTACACACAGAAGCATATATTTAGGTACATTCATGTAACAAAGAAAAGGTTCTGACAAACTGATTCAGTCAAGAATTGCTTAAAAAATATATCAGAAATTGAACTTGAAATTGGTCAGATTAGAAAACAAAGATTTTGAATAGATAAACTCCAGATACTTTTATGTTTCCAAGTCAAGCCCTAATAAAAAAAATCTTCCTATAAAAATCTAATTAAATACCTCATTTACAGTATTTGAATGTAATCCTTCAAGATTTCAAAGGATTTGTTTTCATCTATAATTACCCAACTCCAAAGTATGCTTAGCATAAATTAACTATAGATTATTACTGTGATTGTGAGAAACAATGAGAAATTTCATTAAACACAGGGGAAAGTACAAAAGGGATGGTTTTATCTTAGAGATTGATACCTTATATGTGTTTCAATTTGATTCAAGAACTTTTAAAGAAATTAAACTGCAATGAACTAAAACCTCAAATGTACATAATTTAAACTATTTTATAACTCCATACTCTTGGGAAGAAATAATAATAATAATTTAAAAAAAAATCCAAGCACTTACCAGATTTATGCTGCCAGTAGGAGACCCATTAAAAGATTCTGGGACCAGTGAGGAAGGGAAAAGGAAAAAATAGGTTAGAAGATTTTTCTCCAATGGAGAGCCACAGACAAGAAATAAAAATGGAAAATAATGGACAAATGTGGCATTGGGCAAAATGTTCTGCCCAACATATAAGTACTTCAAGTTTCCAACAGACGCCTAAAGGAAAATGTATGTAAGTTTATACAGCTATAGATATGAAATAAATACTCCAGAAAACATTCCTTTCTAAGCTTGTATCACCACAATTAATTGCTTCATTAGGAAGTCAGTTTAATAGTTAAACGATTTCCATCAGATTTGTACCTCAGCTAACAACAACAATTATTTTAATTGCTTTAAAAAGCCAAATCTCCTATGTACTTTCAATTTCCAGATGAAGAATATAGTTATGTACTAAAACAATCCAACATGTTGAAGAACTTCAAATATTTTTGAATAAAAATG